GAAAAGCTAATGTCCTTCACAGTTGAAATAAGCCATCACATCCCCGGAGTCCATCCGACTCCATTGAATCGCATAGGATCTTTTATTTTACCTTCTGAGTACACCACATCAGGTGACTCTACTTGACCGCAAACTGAGGATTTTCAAATTGATGTAAACAGGACAAAAATTATTAAAACTCTCAGATTTTGAGGAGCTCATTGGAAAACTAGGAAGAACTCAACAAATCAAGCTCATTTTTATTGAGTGTCTAGACCATAATTTAATTAATCTTTTGGTGAAAACCCAACTTTTCTAACATGCATGCACACTGAAGTGTTGGCAAAACAAAAATGCTTTCTGCCATCGTGTGCTAAATTTTGTTACCGATTGCAAACGTGCTCTTATAGGTTCTCATAAAGAGAACTGATTTGAAAAACTGTGTTTTTTAAGTACACGCCTAAATTTTTATACTCATAATAGTTTCTGAATTCAAAAGAGAAACAAAAAAAATAAGCTGACGAGGTTAATATGCAATTCGCTCAATTCAAATAAAAGGTTTTGGCGACAAGGGAATTATGCCTTCTTTATTCCCTATAAAGCTTAAAATCTGTCGGTAAAACTTTCTTGAAATAAGAATAGTTCTGCCAAATAGTCAGATCTGGTGTCGTAGCAAGAGCTACACAGCTCTTTTGGGTTGCGAGTGAAGGTTAAAGTGAGAAAAGGATGTTCAGTAACAAAATGAAACCTAACCGAAGCGACCTCAACATATATTGCTAACTTGACTTACCGGACTGCTACTGCGATCTCGTTGTGGCTGTTTTGGAGGCTGAGAGCCTGAAGAAGAAGACATAGCCTGCCCAGCTTCAGGTCTTACCACAACGTATACATGATTACCCATGGCCTGTGATCCTCTTGCAGAATTAACACCACCTTTGCCCATAACTTGTGTATTCGTAGCCGAGTTAGCACCGCCTTTGGTGATTACATCTGTGGATACCGGCTTATCAACAAAGCCTTTCCTTGGTGCGCTGTTTAACGGTGAAGCAGGTGGACCTACAGTAAATAATGAAGTATGAAAAGTGGCGTGTAACTCATATGTCAAAGCGTTGATGCAAAAGTTGATAATCTGTCATAAACTGTGCAGTTTTAACGAGCAAGCCTTTTTTTCTTTTCCGCACAGATGATTCTGAAAAAAAACGTGGGCACGAGTGATATAAGAAGCTTTGTGTCTTGATAATAAAAAAAACTGATAGAAGCCAGTCGGAAGTTTAACTGTTTGTTTTTTTCGTGAACATTTTTTTTCCTTATTTGACTAAACGCAGAAAAAACGAAAATAAATAACTATCTGCGTCGATTTTCTTTTGATTCTTCAAGTAAAAATTTCCGGATGTTTGATTTTATGTAAAAATTGCTTTTTTATTCAGAACTTCTTTTGACTCAAAATGAAAACAACTTCTGTTATCAGATACGCTAAGTAATTTTAAAAAAATCAGATTGATGCTCATAATCTCAAAGTAAGCAGTTTACCTGGGTTCGAAATGGTACAAATATCAATTCGAATCTACCAAAATGAGACACAGAAAATGTTAAGAAAATTTCTGTATGTAATCTTATTCCCGTTTTTCTTCCAAAGAAACAAAATACTCCTTAAAACTGCTACTCATTATTTTAATTTGACATACAGAAGATATGTTGTTGTTGTTATCCATTTAGTCGTTTTCGACTCTTGCACAGTGGGCATTTCCTCATAGAACAGGCGGCATTTTTTGCCGACATAGTTTTTTTGAATCCAAAAGCACATTTTTATAGGTTTTCGCATATAGTATTTCCAGCAGTGTGGCAAAGGTGAGTCTTGGAAGGTTTTTCAGGGGTTTTCCAGGGGATTTCCAGAGACCCAGGCTGCAAAAACCCCCTAGAAAAAGTTTGCAATTGTTTTAAAGCAAAGTTTCAGACTCGCCGTAACCTAAAACCTATAAATTTGTGCTTTGAAAATATTTGCGCGACGCTGAGAGGTCTTCCAAAAAATCGATATCA